CCAACTGTTCAGGAGGATTATTACACCCCTAAAGGTTGTTTCACTGTGGAAGGGGTGTGTACAGCAGCCTGGCCACCCCTGGCTCCGCCCCTGGGTGAAGTAAATGATGGGAACCACTCTCAGCTACTACCAGTCCACATGTTAGCTCAGCATCTGTAAAACTGACATGAATATGGACGTTTAAGCTAAATTAGCTGTGGCGGCCATCTTGAATCAGGCTGACTCCAAAAGTTAAAGTTGWTGTTCATCCAGGGATCATTTTCTGACACTTTCATTAAGATCAGTGGTTCATGAAATATTTTGCTAACAGACAAACACAAACATGGAAGCAGAAAAGTTTGAGAAAGCTGCAACATTTCTTTATATCTGCCGCAGGACGTGATGAACAGAGTTAACCTATTTTAGGGTCAAAGCAGCAGCTTCAGAGAACATCTTATCTGTTGGATTTCCTGTTGTTTAACTGAAAACATTTAATTTACTGCTTCTCTTTTAGCTGCTGGAGTTTTCAGAGGAACTTTGGACTTCTTACCTGAACATCTGCCTAACATCAGCCAGGACGGTTGATTCCCACCATAATTCAACCATGTAGGAGTAAGAGTGAAGATATGAGCTCTGTATGGAGACAAACCGCAGCTGAAGCTTCTGTTTCCACCCTGATACTGACGCCKGAAACTGGATGTAAAACAGAAATAATCCTAGTTTCTGTTCGTGACTCCGAGTTACTCAGGGTTTAAATTATTAGCTGCACACAAGAACCTCTTCATCAGATTCTTGAAAACAGTTTGAAGAACAAACCAAGAAAAAATGATGATCATTGTAGATAGAAACAGTCWTTCCATCTGAAGACCCAATAAGGTGCTGTAGTGCAGATAGTCTTCATGGTGCTTACTTCATCTTTAATTTATATTTTGATTAAACATGAGATATAAGTAATTACAGGAGTAATTTAGATTAGATTTAAGCACACATGTAGATTTCCACACTTTATAAAACCTGTGGAAATGTGGAACACTTTTAACTATATTTTGTGTTCTGTTCTGTAATGACCTGWTGTATTTTCATTGTGTGTGACWCTGGTCAAAAAYATGTTTGAAGAACAGGGTCAATGTCCAGGTTCCTTATCGTTTCAAGGCTGTTAAGGGGGCAGATTTTGTGGAACCAATAGGAAAGCAGAAGAACTGTCTGACCACCTGCAGCTGTCTGATGATGTATGATTCTCAGAAGTTACATAAAATATGAACTTATTATAAAAGCTTAGAATTACAGGGATGTGATGAGACGCTTGATGATCGAAGGGAAGTATCGGTCTGGTGTTCTCCCAGATTTGCAAATCTGTTTCTGTGGGTTTTTACATGTAATCTTTAATAAATTATGTTAAATTCTTTAAGGCGTCTCCTACTAATTTCTCCAAAAATCCCAATGGACCCGGGTAAGAGCAAATGGGTTCTTAACAAACCACAAATGATCATATTTGATCAGATTATAAACGAAACWCTCAGAAGGTAAGCTTTGGACAGACATCTACAGCTGATTAACTACAGCAGGGCTATTCAACTGGCGGCCCACAGGCCACATGCGACCAGCGAGTGCCAAAAGTGCGGCCCGCCATTTGGTTCATTCATCTCTTAAGCTCAGTTTTGTTTAATTACTATAAGTTCTTTTAGTTCAAAATAGGCATGTGTGGTATCAACAGAAGYGTCAGAATCTTGGCTACAAGCTGGTAAAAACCATTTTTATGAACATCCAAAACAGTTCAAACTACAAACAGTTGAAGATAAGACTATGAAAATGAAAATAAAATTGGTTTAAAAAATTTGGCAAGTCAGAGATGTCAAAATATTTGTGTTAAATAGGAGGCAGAATGGGTTCTTTTTGTTTTTGATAGTTTTATTATCACTTCTTTTATTATATAGGGTTCTGGATGTTTTATTCATGATTAAATCCAGCAAAATAAACTAATTCAAAGGTAACAGATCTTTAGAGGTGGGCGATACTGGGAATTTTGGTATTGATCTGATACAAGTAAATACARGGCCAGTATCACCGATRTCGATATCGATACTTTTTAAGCTTCATAATTTGAAAAGATCCCAAAGATCTAGGATAGAATTTTACCAAACATTGTACATGACAACAAAATTTTATTATAACAATCAGTATTTTTGCTTGCCAACAATAAAGCAGTAACAAACCAGTTTCCTTTAACATTAGGAAAATAAATATTTTATACAAAAATACAATAAAAATTCTTCCCTCACCACTAGACATCTTTCCTAGTTATTTCTTTGTTTCTTTTATTAAATAAAATTGTTCTAAGGAAAAACAAAAAATAAGGAATTTTCTTCCTTTCAATAC